ATGTTTGTACATATGTATGTACATTAACATTTATGTACATAAAATTACAAACATACATTTTGTATATGTACATACATATGTACATGTATGTATGTATGTTATAGAAGTAGATATGTTGCATGCAGATGTGTGCATATACACATTCAGATTTCCATTCATTTGTATAAATTGTTGTCTTGTTTTTGTTTAGCTCTTAATAAGAGGGCGGTTGCTTTTACAGTCATCGCCCTCTTAATATTTAATACTTAATTCAATCAACGGGCTTTGGTTGTTTTCAAAACTGTTTATATATAGTAAATTAACAACAACCGAATAAACTAGAATAATCACATAATCTGCACTAGAATAAGAACACATGAATTTCTCTGACGAGGACAACTTAGACTAAAAAATTGAATTTCAATAAAAACACATTTCCATCTACATAATTCTGTATGTATTCCACAAGTACGCATTATATAGTTACATACATTTCGGTGAACCTGTATATTTTTTAAATAAAAACTAAAAATTATAACTTAACATTAATGAACAAAAATGATGCACAACATTAATAAATTGCCTAAGCTTTCGCTAAAATCTGAGTATATTTGCTCGACTCGAAAAAGCTTAAACCGAGTAGTGGCCCAGACTTCACATTAGCACAAGGTTATAGGGCTACTGAGCCTTTAAAGTCCGTCTTATTTTCACATTCCTACTAATTGCAACGCGTACGATGTACAAATCTTCGGAAATGGATCGGAAATTGCCAAAATCTTGGTCATAAAGAATCAAACGAATTTATCTGAATTTATCTGAATTTATCAACTCATCAATCATGTGGAGGTTCATTTTGATGGTGACATTTTCGAGTGCCATTAGGACTGTGTCCTTTTCTGTACAACAATTAATACAATTTTTTATACCCGGTACTCGAAGCGTAATTAGGGTATACTGTGTTGGTGGTGGAAAGTAGATGTATGGAATGCACACAAGGAAACCATTCCGACCCTATAAAGTTTATAGATATGTACATACATACAGTAAGCACACATATTATTTGTACACCATCATCACCCTAGTTTGAACACCTATAACTTGGCGTACCTTCAACGTAAACAGAAAAAGTTAATTTTGTATCAAAGATCAACATATTTACTATATATTTATGAAAAAAGTTTTCAATAATCTTCTATCCTTATAAACACAGGTGAAACTGGCCGCCCTCCGATGACGATTTTTCTCAAGATATGTTAAATTTTTATGCCGGAAGACTTTTGGAGAAACCCATGTCAAGATTAATTTATACAGAATGTGATTTGACTAGAGAGTCCATCTAAGACATATTTTTGATTTGTTGGCCTTGCGAAAATAAATTTAGCCTATGATGAGAAAATGGTGGTCCCTGCTGTATGGCATTTAGGAGGGTGCCTAGTGCTTCCCCTGTGTTGTTATACCCGGTACTCAAAGAGTAAATAGGGTATATTGTATTTGTGCGAATGACGGTTGTATGCAACGCACAGAAGGAAGCGTTTCCGACCCCATAAAGTATATATATTCTTGATCAGCATCAATAGCCGAGTCGATAGAACCATGTCTGTCTGTCCGTCTTGTTTGTGGGCTAGTTCTCAGAGACTATAAGAGCTAGAGCCACCAAATTTTGGCTCCGGACTGCTGTATGCTCACACTGAAACCAGTGTATTTAAAAAATGAGCCACGCCCCCTTCCGCCCCCGCAAAAGGGCGAAACCCTCCCAACAGTTTTGAAGATAAAAGAAAACTAAAAACTAAAACTATCAGATCACCAAATTGGGATCCGATCGGATCATTATTATAGCAACAATGGAGAAATTAATTTCCAGTGGCTAAACCCACCCTGTCCCGCAGCTTTTGTTGCTCTTTTTACATTCTCTCATTCACACTCTGCTTCTGCTTCACTCGGCCCCTGCCTCTGCCCTCCCCCTGGCGATGCTTCTTCCGACTTTTAACCCACCCCGTCCCGCAGCTTATATTTGTTTTTTTTTGTGTGAGGGCGCTGCCTCTGCCTCTACCGCAAGTCAGCAGTATGTGGGTCTAGGGAAGGGCGGCGAGCGTGTTGGTTTGAGAAGTGTTGTAGATGTAGATGACAGATGAAGAAAAAATTTAAAATTTGACAAAACACCGCTGAGGTGCAGATTCACTATTGTCCCAATGACCAGTTTTGGTGGCTGTTTACGCTAATTAGCCTAATTATGGCCCGGAGCAATTAGTATTTTGTATAAGTACAATTAATTTGAAGCATTAAGCTATTGAATTGTTGCATTTACGACATACTGACAGAAGCTTGTTGCCATAGAACATACATGTGATATGTGAATATGATAGAGAAAGAGGAAGAACATGCATTTAATAGGTAAATATCGAAATTGAAAAGAAGAAGAGATTAAATTGATTTGAATTCCGACTCGGTCGAACAGCAGCACTTGGCTTTTTATTTCGAGATTTTGATTCTGAACTGGTTGCGAGGAGTTGCGGAAACAGTGGCCAAAAAATAATTTTTAAAAGTTAAAACCAAGACTCGGTTTTTAACGCTCTGTATTAGAAAAAGCGTGACCATCAAAGTTGCGTATAAGAAATTTTCATAGATGGCGCAACTTTCGTAAAATCTGCTGTGAAACCTAGCGGTCATTATTGCACAGAATGTGCAGGGAAAAAGTACCAATTTTATTTCTGTTTTAAATATCTCATAAATTGGAAAATACGATTAACTGATCCAATTTTTTTATGCATTTTATTTAGTAGGCTTTTTACTACGTGTTCTGTAATGTGAACGATATCTAGTGGTTGGCGATGTCTTCTACATCTAGATGTAGTCCTGAGTGCCGGGTATAAAAAATGTAACGCGTAAGAAGCGTCTCACACGTCCCTTCTCGTTTTTGAACTGGAGCTGTACTAATGGTCTTATTTAATGAAATGTGAAAAGGGGTGTATTTATTTATATTTTGAGTGACAATCGGCATCCATGTGTTATTCCATTTGGTCATAATTCGAAGTCAAGCTTGACCCATCCCAAAAAACAACACAAAATTGAATCTTTTTTTTATCAAATCTGGCTCATGTACTTACTTACTATAGAAGATTATTAAAAACTTTTTTATAAACATATAGTAAACATGTTGATCTTTTATACAAAATTAACTTTTCCTGTTTACGTTGACCGTACGCCAAGTTATAGGTGTTCAACTTAGGTGATGATGATGTACGAATAATATGTATATGTATTCTTAATCAGCATCAATAGCCCATTCTATATCTGTCTGTCTGTCTGTCCGTCTTCTTTGACGCCTCGTTCTCAAAAACTATAAGAGACTATAAGCGGCGGGAGGAAGTTGGGGTAGCCGCATGCAAATGCATTTCTTCATTCTGGGTGTGATAATGATCCAATCTAAACAACAACTGAGTTGTTTGCTTAGTGGTTCCACGCACAAAAGAAATATATAGAAATGTTGTGGTTCAAATTTTTTGTGGTGCTGGATACCAGCCTTTAAGGAAAAATAAAGGAAAAATGGGGGGTGAGCTAAAAGAGCGTGTTGGCGTGTGAAGCGGTGTAGATGTAGATGGCATATGTTGAAAAAATGTAAAATGAAAAAATTTGAAAAAAGCCGCAAAGATACAGATGTACTACTGAGTACCGGGTATAAAAGTTATGACGCTTAAGAAGCGTTTCACACGTCCTTCCTCGTTTTATAATTCTTTCATCCGAAATCACAATCGCTCAATGATAACATTAATGCCTGCTCGTATAAATATCTTATTGCTTGTCTCTGCTCCGCCCTGACTCAAGGGAGAATTAATTTTTCCTCCGTACTCAACGCATCAATTAAATTCGTGCTGCGAGAATGCTCTCACTATTTGTCACTTTTGTCTGTCACACTTTCATTCTTTTGTCTGCATGAGGTTCTCCATTTTTATTGAATGTGGATTTTTAGGATGTGGGCGAGTACATGCGCTCAGACTTGAATGTATAGCTGATGTCACTTGGATTTCCGGAAAGCATTTTGATCCCGATTGGTTTTATACCCGATATACGAAAAGTCTAGATACGATCACAATCCACAATCCACAAAAGTGTTGCTGTGAGAATTGAGAGAGGCAGTTGTAGTGGAATAAAAACCCCGTAGCAGAAAAATGGAAGCACATCAAATTTTCTACAATTCTGATAAAATAGGTAGCTAGTTAATTAGGGTATAAACGAAGTGAAAGAATTAACACTAGAGCTAAACAAGCGTCATGCCGTCATGGCGATGCATCGTCTGCGATACCAATTCCGGCGCTTACTTACAATAACTTATAAAACTAATAATGAAAAGCATAGATATGTACATATTTCTGTATACTATACTGTAATACTAGATATACATACTTACACACATGTACATATGTAGGTTTAAATTTTAAATCTTTAAAAATGGAGCCGTGGCCCTTGCCTCGGCACCCAAATTATTCAAATTATCCGCTAGACAGATGAAGACCAGAAGCGGGCTCTAGCCACCGGACTGATATTGTTTGCGTACATACATATGTATACTTACTTGTCTTGTTATGGTCTACATAACATTGCATATGAAATAATTAATTTCGCCCTACACTTAAACTGTCTCCTTTCCGGTATCTTCATGGTATTGCATTATATGATTGTGAATATTCCCGTTTGGACAAGCGGTACAGAACTTGGAAGGGCGAAATCATTCCTTCATTCTCCCACAGAGCAACAGTGCGCCCCCCATTTGAATTGCCAAAATAACGAGAGAGTGAAAAGAACTCCTGACACTTTTATCGATCCAGCAACTACCACCACCCACTAGGATTACGTCGCTATGTGGCGATGCGGTTAGTCTTGGTTGGACCTGGGGGATGTTGAGTGGTGCATGCGCACTGCCCTCCAGCAGCTTCGCAACAGAGACGAAACCAGAACGGAATGAAGAACTTTACATAACCACAAAGCGCTGGAGAATGTGGACACAGGATGTCTGGGATACTCACTGGCATTCATTCATGATCTCCTCCTGGCTGCGTACCTGGACCGGGGCCAACTCCTCGACGTTTTCCTCATAGTTTCCGAAGCACTTAGTTATCTTGTCATCGAACGTGTTGACCAGATCCTCTAGACTGCCGCCGAACGTCTCTGTGAAGTTGTCCACATGATCCCCGTGGGCCGCAGACGGTTTTTCTAGCCCCTCTCCATCGCCCAAAACCAGGCCCACTTCGGAGACGCCCAGATCCGTGACGGATCCGCTTGGCAAGGAATTGCAATTGGGACTGATGGTACCGCCGCTACTGCCGCCTCCTCCTCCGTTCTTGCTGATGTGCGCATCACGAACCGCATCTTCAAGCAAGAGAAGCTTTGCAGCACCTGGCTTTCTGCCCACACTGACCTCCTTCAGGTTTAGGTTAAGCGTGTCATTGAGGGCGTTCTGGTTAGAAATGAAGTCACAGCCGCCCCACTCATCTGTCTCCTCGAACTTTGCCAGGGGAGCCTCGAATTTTAGCTCGGCCATTTTGGTGCCGAGGTCACGCATGGCACGCGAGCAAGGAGCAGGAATCAGCACAGGGCACTCTGGTTATTCTTGAATATTTAATGTAGTTTCTTACGATTTAAACACTGCCTAAAGTTTCACTTCTTTGTCTGCACTGTTAAAAAAACAATAAAAAAAAAGTCACACTCGATCGATTAAGTCGTGAGTAATATTTTCTGAACCGAGTTTCTGGCAGCTTGTTTTCTATTTAACACGAAGACGTACAAAGAAGATAAACAAGGCAGCCACGCCACGGAGTCAGTGTGACCGCGGAATTATACCAGACAGCACCTTGGAAATATACCCTTCATTTATAAAATATACCGTAAATCTTAAATCATTTTCCTCGACGTTTATCTTCTGTTTAATATTACCAGCAGGTTAGGTCTCTCAATTGTACAACTTTAATTTTACTCGAATAATCATTAAATTCTTAACAGATAAACAGCTGATTTTCATGACTTATTTTTATTGGATTGATTGCAAAATAAGGTTACAGCTTTTATTTCTTCGTAGGTGCATTTGGTCGTGGGAAGTTGTATTAAGGTGCCTAATATGAGGTTTCCTAACAATTCTGAGCAAATTGACTTTAGTTTCATTTGACTACAACACTTTTTTTTTGACTGGACGAATCTTTCTGAATCTTAGACTTCGTTTCTATTATTTTTTCCAGGCCTATAAACTGTAAAAGTTAATTTCTGTTATATGTATTTTATTTTTAATTGTTTTGTTACATTTTGAAACATTGTTATGTTCCCTGTTTTGAAACAAGCGAAATAAAATTTCGTTTCTATTAGTTTTCCGCCATTGTACAAGTGTATATACAGCTGTGAAAAAAATAATAGCACCACTACCACAAGCCATTTTCAAATGGTTACAACTCACATTTTGAACTTTAAGGAAAGTTTAAGCACATTTTTAGAAAGGGAAGACTCTTACAAATCTGGGAAGAACAAAAAAATCAAATTTTTTTGTAAGGCCTTTAGGTTATTTAAGAAACTTTAGTGAAACGTGTAATATTAGGCGAAAAAACTATTAGCACCACTTTTGAAAAAAAAAAATTTTTTTTTTCTCTCTCTTTATATTTACAATCTGTTGTTAAACAATAAGTAAATTGTATAACTAATATTCAATTAACAGAAATAGCAGTTTTCCAATGAGCCCTGCTATTATATATAACATCTTTTTAGTTTGTTGGATTTAACTATCAGGGATATCGAGAATGTGGTATCTTTTCAGTCTTCTTACTGTTAGGCTATTGTCTAATAGACTTAAGGCTAAATTATTTTCGTGGTTGTGGAGTCTGTCGATGTATTTATTACTAGTTTTCTTTATTTCTTCTTTAATGGTTGGAATATTCAGATCTTTGTGGATGTTTGCATTAGATACGTAAAACGGAGCATTGACAATGTGTCGCAAAGTTTTTGATTGGTAAAAATGGATTTAAAATTTAAAAAATTACCAACAAGTAACGAATTTCTTAGTTACCACTTCTGAACTATTAATTCAAAATCTATATTTATCGTTCAGTATTTAGTTCAATGTCCTATTGTGGCAATAACAGCTGCGCAGCGTTTTGGCATGGAATCCACCAAGTCCAGGCATAGCTTTTGGGGAGCTTTGGACCAGGACTCTTAAATTTGTTCTCAAAGTGATCCGACAGTGGTTGGTTTGGAAGCAGCAACTGCTTTTTGGATGGCGGACTACAAATTTTCGATGGGTTTCATGTCAAGTGACTGCGCAGGCCACTCTAACACGTTCATTGTTGGCCCGAACCGTTCCTTTGCTTTCATGCTTGGGTTATTTACCGGTTGCAAGACCCATACTAGTCCTATTTCATTTTCTGCAAACACGAAAACGTGCTAATACTTAATGGTTTTTATTCAATGTATTGAATACACCATAAAATTTAACCTTTTATATTTAAAGGTTTTCTTTGGTGTACTGGCGTTCCTTGGACATCTTAAGTATGATCGAGATCCCTTTTTACCCATCTGACATTCAAATTTGCCTTCATTATAGGGATGTCCAATTGTCATGTTCCCTTGCAAACTGCATGTGCTTAGTAATATGTCTGGCGTTTAAAAATGCGATTTTTTTTGGGCTGCAGGCTTTTAGGCTTTGTTGTCTAAGATATATCCAAACTTTCTAGCCTGTCGCTTTTATTTTAAGCTCTTTTTTGAAGCTCGATAGCAGACTTGAAGGGAACCTTCTTGTTCTCACGAATCAGCCTTTTGGCCATAAAAGGGGTCATTGATAGTTTTCATCCACGTGCTTCAAACTTTTCCTCATAGTTTAAGGCGTTTTAATCATTTTACTGAAACTTCCTACCAATTGACCAAATTCTCTGTAAGTTTTTACGTCAAACAAAAATTGTTTGCTAGGGTCGCGCTTCTTCGCATTTCAGAGGTTTCCACGTCTTCTTGTAATCCTTATTATTAGCTTTTATGCCAGAAACAATGAAATATTAGTCAAAACTAATAAATACGTGGTTTATACAAAGTCAATTCCGCGAAATCACTCGCGAAATAATTTACATAAAATAGTTCTAATGGTACCAAAATTTGGTGGCTCTAGCTCGTATAGTCTCTGAGAACTAGCAGACATGGCTCAATCGACTCGGCTATTGATGCTGATCAAGAATATATATACTTTATGGGGTCGGAAACGTTTCCTGCTGTGCGTTACATACAACCGTTATTCGCACAAATACAATATACCCTATTTACTCTTCAAGTACCGGGTATAATAAATATAAATACAGAAATTTGAAGAAAGGCAACACTTTTTTTTGTTAATGGAAAATACTTAACTATATGAAAAATAAAACTAAGCCTTTAAAAAAATCGCACCAGTAATTGTTTTTCTTATTAGCCAAAAACATAATGAGTTGTAGTGGTGCTATAATTGTTGTCCCAACTGTACATGCTAGTCTTATGCTAGTTTTATTCGTTGCACTATTTAGTTTTAAACTTAATTTGTACACATTCCAAGAAGAGGAAGTCTCCACTCTTGCGGAGAATTGATTGATAAATACGATAACTAGAAAGTAATATTATATAAAACAAAATCGAAGAAAATTATTTTGTATGGTAATGTATATTTTGGTATATTTTCGAGGGTCTTTAGGTATATTTGATCGATAAATCCGCGGTTAGACTGCTAACCTGTTTCGATGTCTGGCCTTTCACACTTCTAGAGCCTGGTCACACTGTACAATGCACTGAATCGTGTTGCAATTTTGTGTAATAAAATACATTTTTACATAATAAACAAAAATTTAATACGAATTTGTGGGGAAAATAACCTCTACGCCAGGTAAGTATTGGAGCAAAGCTGTAACAAGTTACATATTACGACGTAGCGATTTCCCCCTTGTAAAGGCGGGTGGCCAAATAATTCCCCTCTACCTAAGGGTAGTGCGGTAACTTAAAACCACAAAAAAAAAAAAAAATACATTTTTGAGGAAATCAATTGCAGATCCGTTAACAAATGGCTACTCGCAGTAGTGGCTCCAACATTGTCCTCGGCAATGTGATGGCCACGACGGTAACAGTTGAGTCCATCTCTAACGTGCTGACCACTGTGACTTCCCTGCACTCGAACAGCGTTAACATCCCTAACAATATATCCGCCGGAGCGGGAGTGGACATCCAGGATGCAGGCGCAGGAACTGAGGCAGATACCTCCAAGCCGATGTATCCGCGTCTGTTCAACAAAATCGTGCTGACATTAGAAAACAGCCTGATACCCGAGAGCAAGATTGATGTAACGCCGTCCAGCCAGGACGGGCTGGACCACGAGACGGAAAAGGATCTTCGCATACTGGGCTGCGAGCTGATACAGACGGCTGGAATCCTATTGCGGCTACCGCAGGTTGCAATGGCCACCGGCCAGGTGCTCTTCCAGCGCTTTTTCTACTCCAAGAGCTTCGTGCGCCACAACATGGAGACGGTGGCCATGAGCTGTGTGTGCCTTGCTTCCAAGATCGAGGAGGCGCCCCGCCGAATCCGCGACGTCATCAACGTGATCCACCATATCAAGCAAGTGCGGGCCCAAAAGTGAGCGAAATAAGTGCGAATCCCGGTACACTGTTTCCTGTATCTGACTGATTTTCCTTTTCTCTTGCAGGGAGATTGCGCCCATGGTATTGGACCAGTACTACACAAACCTAAAGATGCAGGTGATTAAGGCAGAGCGACGTGTACTCAAGGAACTGGGCTTTTGCGTCCATGTAAAGCATCCCCACAAGTTGGTCGTAATGTACCTTCAGGTGCTGCAGTACGAGAAGCACGAGAAGCTTATGCAGCTTTCGTGGAACTTTATGAACGACTCATTGCGAACTGACGTTTTCATGCGGTACACCCCGGAGGCGATAGCCTGCGCCTGCATTTACCTAAGCACTCGGAAGCTTAACATTCCGCTGCCCAGCAATCCGCCGTGGTTCGGCATCTTCCGCGTGCCCATGGCCGATATCACAGACATTTGTTATCGAGTCATGGAGCTGTACACGCGGCCCAAGCCCGTCGTTGAGAAGCTGGAGGCGGCCGTCGACGAGCTGAAAAAGCGTTATCTTGACGCCCGCACTAAGACGAAGGAGGCCAACACACCACCCGCCGTTATCACGGTGGATCGCAACAACGGCTCGCATAATGCCTGGGGCGGATTTATCCAGCGAGCCGTCCCACTGCCACTTCCTTCGGAAAAGTCGCCCGAGAAGGATTCTCGGTCACGATCACGCTCCCGGACCCGTACTCAATCAAGGACCCCCCGCTCCAGATCGCGATCCCGGTCGCCAAGCCGCGAACGCACAAAGAAGTCCCATCGTGGGCGCTCCCCGAGAACTCGCTCCGGCACACCGCCCAAGCACAAAAAGAAGTCTCGACACTACTCGCGATCCGCCACGCGCTCCAGCTCCCCCCACAGCAAGCACCGCAAGAGGTAAGTGACAATTGATCCTTCCTCCAAATAGTTTCTTACATCTTAAGGGGCTTCTTTCAGGAAATCTTCTCGAGAGAGATCCGACTACTATACCAAAAAGGATCGCTCCAGCCATATCGGCAGCAACAATATTGGCGATGACAAATATCGTAATTCCAACTCAAGCTCTGTTAAGCACAGTCGCTATTCCTCATCACATCGCAACAGTGTCGGAGGCAGCGGTGGCGACTCTCGACATGGGAGTCGTGCCGGACACAAGCATAGAGATGAGCGGTCCAGGGACCG